ACAAGGACACACTTGATCGGGTTGACATAAGTCACGATGACTGGCCACAATGTTTGGATGATGATTAGGGCCAGGCACTTGCGAGCCACTCCACTTGATTCGACGGCATGACAATTCATTTTGTGGCCCTCAAAAAAGAAAGGTAAGTCGCTGTGCTAACGGTTAATGCCACTTTGATGATACCCTCTAAAGCAACTGAATTTAATTAGCAAAATTTCAGATTCTATGATCAAACTTTTTAATATTTTTTTCTATTCAATAAACTTTACTTACTTCTTTCATTTAAGTTTATTACATTATTCCTTGCATACTTTTTGTCCACAAAGCTTAAAACAAACAGAAGAGGTATAAAAAACAATGTAGGCTTAATAAAAAAATAATAATAATTACATTACATAACAAGCGCATTAGATCTAGGATAAATCACTTTAAGAACCATTAAGTTCAGCAAAATGTAGTAGAAAATTAAGAGTTCATATTGTATTTACTATATTTAAATTTACTTTGTGACCTATCTTAAATATTAGATTGAAATCTTGAAATTTCCAAACAGCTAAATCAGGAAAGGTCAACAACTTGTTCCGCTGCCCTCTAAAAAGAAATTAACCCTTATATCCTCTAGTAAAAAGCAACTTTGGTGCAGAAGAGTGTGTGTGTGTGGACTAAAAGCAAACGGCAATTAAATGTCATAAAAGTACCCGCAATGTACTAAAGTAGGGATTGAAATCTCTTCGTTCTGTTTTTGAACTTGAGACGACGGGCAGCAGATGGGACTGCAACCACAGCCGAGGGGTTCAAGCAACCGAGAATGTCTAGACAATTTCAGCTTTATCCTTCTCAGACGACAAAGTCTTCATTAGCTGAACGGGGATTTTTGGTGCAGATCGTATGTCGTGATATATATTCGCATTTTATGGCCAAAAGGAACGTTAAATTAGCAAAAATTCGACGTCGCTACGTCTCAGCTGCACATTTTATCGCATCTACGTATTAACTTAAGAGGGAGTCTTTTTAATTATGTCGATTTAATTGCGAGAACATTAATGATAAAAAAGGCAAATAAAACGAAAATTTAATTTCTCAAACAATCAAATCTTAAATAAAAAATCTTTAAAATTTATCTTTTGAACATGGTTTTAAACTTAAATTATAAAAAAAATTATGTTTCCAATTTATTTAACGAGCTTTCTTTTCGATTTAAGCTTTTATAAATATGTGACAGAAAATATAAATAAATACAAAACTATACTGCAGACCCAAACGAAAGCGAAAGCATGGATGACAAAAAATTTAAAACGAAAGTACGAGTGAGCATACACTTTTGTAATTAAAATATTCCAAAAGAAACAAAAATATTCGCATGCACAAAACCGCAAACTATGTTGGCCTGCTGTATAATAACATAAGCGCATAAAAAATCGGGTCGGGAAATAAATGAAATAATTGTTATGGGAAGTAGGGATATACAGAATCTGTATAGCAGTACGGAAACCAAACTCATTTGAAATGTGAGAATTGAAATTGGCACTTGCAGGAAGTTTTATTTGATGAACAAATTCGGAGCTATGACATTTGATTAAGAAAAACAAAATGGTTTTCCCATGTGACGATTACATATTTCTAACGTTTGATTGAATTAATGGGTTTAAAGTTTCTTAAATTACTTTCTGCTCTTTATTACAGCTATGTAACACAGGTACACAGCCAAAAATTTCCACGAACCATTTCTAGTTTTCCATGATAATTGGGTGATCCTGAGTAAAAGTCCCATACAAACTTATGTCCCATCACCTACAGGTTCCGCGGTATAGCTAAGAATACAAAAAAACCGATGTTTGCCCACATTTTGAATTACGTGGCCTATATAATTGGACTAACCTTTATTATTTTCGGTAGGACCTACTCTCAATACATCACGGCATTCCTAAAAAATAGTCCCCATTGTGAACCATTGCCCATGTCTTTGGAATTTGACGCCAAAGTTGAAAATCCCAAAACTGTAGAGATTTTTCTGATGGAAAAACAATTCTGAGGATTAAATCTTGAATGGAAGTAATTTTAACTATTCATTGTATCTATTGTTCATTGTATGCTTTAATTTCGGTTTAAAGCGTTTTCATGAGAATATTTTTTATTGGATTTATTATACTAATAAAACCGATTTTTTTATTTCATTATCTACTCCTAAATGTTCTCAAATTTTAAAAAAGTCAAGGCATCCTACAGAATGGGAGTAAACATTTACATTTCTCTATGTATGTTCAGTGAACGTACTTTAGTTTCTTAGTTCTAGAGGTTGCCATGACTTATTCAAAATTTGACAACATTTAGGAGTAGATAATGAAATAAATAAATCGGTTTTATTAGTATAATAAATCCAATAAAAACAAGAGAGAACGCTATAGTCGGGTTGGTGTCCCGACTATCTAATACCCGTCACTCAGCTGAAGGGAGTTCGAACGCTGTACTCGGGTTGGTGTCCCGACTAATAATCGTAACTTAGATAAAGGGAGTGCGAGGGAGATAGATATATAAATTTTGATTGCGTATAACTTTTTAATGAATGGTCCGATTTGAAAAATGTCTTCTACATTTCGATAGGTATAAGTATACACAACAAAATTGCATTCTTTAAAGATGTGGGCGCAGGACCCATTTTAAAATCGTTAGTGGGCGATTGTGGGCGTTAGAGGGGGCGTGGCGCTCGGCTAAAATAAACTTGCGCTGCGTAGGAAGCCAAAGAATATGTGTGGGAAATCTCAACCTTGTAGCTTTGTGTAGTTTCTGAGATCTCAGCGTTTATACAGACGGACAGACAGACAGACGGACATGGCTAGATCGACTCGGCTAGTGCCCCTGATCAAGAATATATATACTTTATGGGGTCGGAAACGCTTCCTTCTAGCTGTTACATACTTTTGCACGAATCTAATATACCCTTTTACTCTACGAGTAACGGGTATAAATATTCTCATGAAAACGCTTTAAACCGAAATTAAAGCATACAATGAACAATAGATACAATGAATAGTTAAAATTACTTCCATTCAAGATTTAATCCTCAGAATTGTTTTTCCATCAGAAAAATCTCTACAGTTTTGGGATTTTCAACTTTGGCGTCAAATTTCAAAGACATGGGCAATGGTTCACAATGGGGACTATTTTTTAGGAATGCCGTGATGTATTGAGAGTAGGTCTTACCGAAAATAATATAGGTTAGTCCAATTATATAGGCCACGTAATTCAAATGTCGACCACATCGGTTTTTGTATTCTTAGCTATACGCGGAACCTGTAGGTGATTGAAAATAATTTTGTATGGGACTTTTACTCAGGAGCACCCAAATATCATGGAAAACTTGAAATGGTTCGTGGAAATTTCACAAAGTTTAATTTTGTGTTCCTGTGTAATTAAATGTAATTCCATATCCAGAAATATATGACACCTTTTACAATCACATAAATAAAGTAAATAAGTAGGGGAGTGTAGGGTAAGGTGACGAACGATTCGTTTTTTGAATGTAACTTTTCTAAAAATCAATATTTTTCAAAAGTGTAAACGCAGAAAGTTGGTTACATCTACTGAGCATATCCCTGTAAAATTCGAAATTCGATATTCCAATGCAGCTAAATCCCACAGCGTTTAGCGTGAACCCTTCTTTTTTTGCACTTTCAAAAGTTGTAGGGTAATGTGACGAACGATTTGTTCTTTAATGTAACTTGTCCAAAAATCAATATTTTTTAAAAGTGTAAAAGCAGAAAGTTACTTACATTTACTGAGCATATTTCTAAACAAATTTGGATTCGAAATTTCAACGTAGCCAAATCCCACAGCGTTTGGCGTAAACCATTCTTTTTACAAACAAAAAATACATTTTTTTATATATTATTTACGGAAAGGTTATTTTCGATACGGAAAAGAAAGAAGTAATAAGATAATACCCAAACTTACAAAAAAAAATTGTCAAAGTGCAAATTTTTTTAAAATTAAATTAAACTGACGTCACTATTAAAAGCAACAATAAAACTGCAGCAGTAAATGTTATCTGGTATTATTATATTTTTTTACAAATAATCAACGATAACAGTTAAAATTCTTGAATAAAAAAGTTCGTCACAATACCCTACAAAAGTTCGTCCGATACCCTACAAGGTACACTTGGAGCAAAATCGGTGTCACTCTCAAACGGCGCAAAAGAAAAAAACGAGGTACCAAAAACTGTTGATAAAGATCTCATGTATACGTGCATATATTTGCCTGATTTTATTTTAAACTCATCTTTGCTCTGGCACTGCTGAAACACAAGTAAATTGAATGGGTTTGCTAGTTTGCGCACCACATTTTTAGCGAAAATTACCTCACGAACAAAATATGGGACTTCTTATTAATATTACTATAAATACATTGTCGACACGATAAGAGGGACTACTTTATTTGGAATTTTGTCGTGACGTCATATATGAGATTCGACGAGTTCGTCACATTACCCTACTCGTCAAATTACCCTACACTCCCCTACAAATAAATTTTTTATACACCGGGAAAGGGATAATGTTAAGCACTAGCTTTCTGAAATAATTTCAACACATTGTCCTTTTACTCCCTCTTTTCTATTCGTATCCCCAGCTTTCTCCCTCCACCCACACAATCCCTAGCAAGTGAAAGAGGAAACCGTTAGGTGTCATTATCGTTGTTGCATGCTAGTTATCCCTTTGAATGTCCTTCGTCCTCTTATGTGTGCGCCTGTGTGGGTTAGCTCCTTTATGGCCCAAATAATTGTGCGGTCTCTGGGTTGAGAAAACTATATTTTTTAAGCTGTGCTTGCAAGAAAACGTTAGATGGTGTCATTTGAGATCAGAGGCGATTACGGTTATTTGGTGTCTAAATTAGTTTGGATGCGTTGGTGGGCAAGGGTTTGTTTGGCTTGAAGATTAAAATAAAGTAGAGCGTGTTTAAGCTTTAGCACCATTTATGGTATTAGCTCTGAGCATATTTTTAACATTTTAAGCGGCTGTTTATTTAACATTAAACATTATCAATTTAAGAAAACGAATAACAAGCTTTTAATCATAAGCTCATAATGATTTATATTTCAAGCTATGCTAGTAACAACTTTCCAAGTTCAATTCAATTGCACAGCGGGGAGTCTCTGTATTTGAATGATACCGAAGACTCCATAGGATTTTTCTTTTTTCAAGACTTGTTTATAAATTGCGGGATCTACGTTCAGCAGATCTCTTCGCGTTCGAACGATTATTCTTCGCAGCGGCACTCATGGCGCTCAGGTCTATATTCTCGCCGTGGTCTATGACCCGAGTGCGTTTCTGCTCGGAACCTCTGTTTGAAGTCTCCACCTCCGAAACCATTACCTCAATGACTTCCGGCTGTGGAGGTGAAGGTGGTACAGGCACAGCTGTGGCTGCGGGTGTGGGTATATGTGTCGGTTCCGATTCCTTGGGGACCTGCGTTACTGGCATCTCATTTATTAGCTTGCTGTAGCAGTGATGCGTGGGATGGTATCCCGGCTCGGGATCCTCCTTAGGCAGACTCTCGTCGGAGATCTGCGAATGGGTGGTGACGCGATCGTACTGGATGTACGGATACGATTCGCGGGAGTCGCCCTGGCAGGGAGCACACTCCTCGTCGGCGATTTCCGCCAGGTAGTCGTTATCCTCGCTATGCAGGCTCTCCGACGAAGTGTTGAACTCCTCGTGTATCAGCCGCCTGGCCAACTGGACCGTCGCGAACTCGTTGTAGTGCATTTTGCGGCGACGGGCGAAGGACATGCGACGTGCCCGTTCTCTTAGAGTCTCGGGAAAGTCAAAATCATCCGAGTCATCCGAACTTGAGGACGGATCCCGCGGGAAAAAGTCCGGCATTATGTTCTTCGCCTCCTTGTGCAGCTTTTCCTTTAGCTCCTTGAAGGACATTACAGTTTCGCTGTTCGCTCTTTGGGTCGGCGATGACGATTTATTATCTACTTCATACGGATCCGCGTGAACCGGATATCCCAGGTTCATCAGATCAAATGTGGTTTTCTTAGCCGCCATGGCTAGTAGTAATGCTTAGTGTTTGAACCCAACAGTGGTAACCTTATTTTTAAAATTATTATTATGAAGTATTTTTTAGATATATGTAAAATTGATCGTTGCCAGTCTGATTATGGAATGAAATTTTGTGCTCATGCTCAGACTCAATTTAATTTCTAAACTTGATGTTTGGGAGTCTACGTTAACTAGATTAATTTCAATAGCAGTTTTTGAGAAAACATAAATTTAAATTTAAAGCTGTTGTTAAATACCCCTAAAAAATAATCAATCAGATTATTTAAAATTAGTATCAAAAATACAAATACTTTGTCAAATTAGTTTTTACTTATATCACTTATATTTCAGTTATTATCAATCGCAATTATAACATTTTAATTCAAAGACGTCCATCTGGTCTTAATTTATTATTTTTACCCCTACATGACTCCCCGTTAAACCCAAAATTTGTTTTCTGTCTGTTCCCATGGAAACCAGATTTGTTTTTCGATAATGGCAGAGATTAGCTTACATTCCATAATTTGATGTCACATTTTTTCCACAACGCGGGTTAAGTGTTTGACCTTTGGGTGCGAGATGGCACAAAAAAATGGGCAATTCTCGGCTAAAGAAATTTGTTTGCCAGCCAATTCCGATTGTGTCAAAAGGGAGCGTTATTTATTGGTCCGCAGGCGTCATTGTCTAGCCATCGATGGGAATATAAATATGCCAGCGGCGTCTCACAAGGATGCATAAATTGTCAAATCTAGATTGCGGCTTTCGATGAATTTAATTGGATCGAAAAGTTTTCTTCGCGTTTCGCCAAAACCGAAAATTGAGCTGTTGAAACGTGACATTTCCACCAACTCAAACGGAACCGCAGCCAATACGCATACAATTAAACTGTATTTTCGGCAGCTGGTTTTGGGATAAAAGTGCCTTTTTTGGACATACCATTTGACCCACATTCGAAGAAGAATTTCTGCCAAGAATAAAATGTTTATTTTGCATTTTATGCCAAAAGAGAGAGCGCTAAAATTATTTACGCAGCATCAGGCGTGTCATTTGCATGTGCCACGCCCCCAGCTCCAGTCACGAAAAATTCAAGGCGAGCAACCCACCCAATGAAGCCCACAAAAATACGCTAAAAGTATTTACATTTGACTCGGAAAAATTATACATTTCCGTGCAAATAAAAAGCAAATCCGAAGCATCTCAGTCGCTGGTTGGGCAAAGGGGGCGGACAGCATCGAGGAAATGTCCGGAAATAAAACCAGAATCAGAAGCAGAAAGCAGATTAGAGATCCCTAAAGAAACCCAGTCGAAAAGCAGATGCTCTCAATGTAGAGTCACGTCACCTAACGTAGTTTAGGAAGCTAACTTATCAAATCTCGGAAAGAGAAATCGGCAAAATAATATTACTTAATAATAATAAATATTATTTAATAATAATAAATATTATTTAATAATAATAAATATTATTTAATAATAATAAATATTATTTAATAATAATAAATATTATTTAATATCATTTTGAACAGTATTGCATGGTAAAAATGATATGCGTATAAATACCAGAAATTTACCATGCTCATATCGGTTTGATCCCGGCGTGTTCTTTTGTGTGTACATATTTTATTCTATCTATAACTAAATACGCTTGCTTGTAATGTTACTGGTGAAAATGGGCCATTTTTTATGAAATTTATAGAGTTTCCCATTGATGTTTAGGTGTTGCAACCATTTCCAACGATTTGGGCAACTCCTTCGTTGAAGGACAACGGCAGGCGTGGTAAAAAAAGCGCGTTGCCAAAGAGGAAAAAGCTTCAAATCCGCAAACAAACACTGTGACAGCTACAATGCGGGAACTGAAAAGTGGGTGTTGTTGGGTGGAAAGGCATCACCCGGCTGAATGAAATGTACTCTCTATTGACATTTGATTCGGCGAGTGAGGCTGGGAAATAAAAATATATATATATATATCTGGATGTGTACAAGTGCAGAGCGGACCCAGTTAGCCCCATTTTGTGGGGTAAAAGCGGAAAAGAGGGCAGCAGGGTGCTTCACTTTGTTGCACAAAGCCTTGCTCAGATTTCGCTGAAGGAAAACTCTTCGCTTTTCACTCTCGGGGGCTGCCGTTTTTCGTTTCATTGTTTGTTTGTTTGTTGGTTTCGACTCGTTTCGTTTCGTTCCGTTTTCGCTTTTGTTTGTTTGCTTGTGGATTGTGTTTCCTGTTACAAGGATTCCAGGATCCCATCGCCAACCCAACTCGAATCCCCTGTCCTGTCGTCTTGACGCATAAATTTGCCTTAATTTGTTGCAAAATAATTTCATTCATTTACGTGCTGCCATTTACATGGCCCTCGATCCTCGTTGATAACTTATTTAAGCGCTTTCCCCCAAGAGCGAAGGAAAAACAAAATTTGAACAAAATAAATTATCAAACTGTCACATTGACGTATCGCCCAAGTGAGACAATCCGGGCAACCGAGGAGCCAACAGGGAAAATTCGAGCCAATCTCCTGGCCATAATCTAGAGCATCATGTTGCTCGTTTAAAGGATGTCAAAGGTTGGCCATATATCAGCAAAAGGCATCAAACGCAGTCGAGTCGAGGCATCGGCTTCAGCCCGTTAACAATTTCATGTAACAAATTCTTTGTGCCTGATGCCGGACATGGATACATGGTCAGGAGTGGCTGACTGTGGAGTGGGCGGAAAAGGGCACTTAGAAAAACAATTAAAATTAAATGTTTTGTTTTATTTTTTGTATCTGTTAAAGAGAATCTTAACATCGAATTGTTTTCTGTTTTTCATCTGTGGGAAATAAAACTTAAACAAATGTTGAATTCCATTAAAAAAATTAACTCAAATTTGAATGTTTAATTACTTTAAGACAAAAAGGATCCATTCCGTAAAGAAGATGTCAAGATATTTTAACTAAATAAATAATATTTAGTAAATATTTTGAAGTAATAAAGAATACTTACAAAGATAATTTTATAGTTAATAATTATAGAATATTATTATTATATTTTATGAGAAATTGTTAATAAAGATAATTCTCATAAATTAGGTTTACATTTTTAAAAAACAATTTAATTGGAAAATAGTGGGATAAAATATTTTCCACTGTGTGGACATTCGAGCTGTTTCAGATTTCCAATAAATATGCCTAGGGTGGTCGTGGTCCTTCTCTTGATCCTGATACTGCCGCTGGTTCTGGTCCTGTTCAGTTCCGTTCTGCTCTGTTCTGGTTGGGTCTGGACTCGGAACCACCGCACTTCCTGCTGTCTGCCACCCACTGTCGCTTATTTGACATCCTGACAGTTTCGACAGTTTGCCTCTCGTTCCTCGCTGCACGACAAAGTGCGTAGGGACGCAGGACGACGGCCAGAGCTTTGTTTATTTATATGGTTTACTCGGGATGTGTGTGCTGGTTACCTTGTGCCCGGTGCTGCGGTTGCTGCCGTAAACGCTGCTTTGTTGGGGGAGCGGAACAACCGGGAATATCGGGAAATGCCGCAGAAAAATATCCATCGCACGCGGGTTTCTGGGTTCAAGGTGTAGCCCAGCATGTGACAAGGATTCGATGCTAACCCAGCTCTCGGTGTGTGTATTTATGAACGCCACTGTTAGCCACTAACAAGCGGCTAAAATCTGTCGCCAACAATGGTGGCAATTGGTTGTGGAACACGGGGTAAGACGTCAATCTGGCGGGGGCTTAACTGCGCAGCTTTGATGTGGGTACGATATATCTGGTGTTTCTGCGAAATCCGATTCTCCAAGGGTTGAGAGGTCCTTTCAATGTTTAAGCTATTTTAATGGTACATTTTCAAAATCTATTTTAATTTATTTATTTTTATTTGTCCATTTTATACAAAAACATATGACAATGTTATAGTCGACTATCAATTACCCACTACTCAACTTAATGCAAGCAGCAAAGCTGGCCGTCGCTTGAATGCAGCTCCATCTACCCAAAAATCTGTAAAGATCTCAAACGGAACACTGGACCTACAATGTATTCATGAACGGTGTTCATACTTTGGGAAATATGTTTTCCCTATTTCGGTCAATGCAAAAACTCCGACTCTCTTACTTTATGAATAACGGTTATTAAATTATTAAATCGGTTATTGTTAATTTTTTTGTGTCAAGGCATGTACCAAGTTTATTATCTCTAAAAACGAAAGTGATTTAAATTTAAAGGTTTAAAATCACATAACTTCAGGCCCTTCATAGACTGTCTATTTTATTTTAAGACTGTTCAAGGCCCTTTGTTTTTCCAGTGAATTGCCACCTGAGACTGTAATTTTTGATTACTCTCTCGGTTACTTTGGAGAGGTGTGACTTTCCCCCGATGCGATTTGTGGCATGAGGCTGAAAAGGTAGCAAGTGAAACGTGATAGCTCACTACTCAGCTCGAATTCCTGTTGAGATTGAGCTGTGGATTCGGATACGGACTCGATCTCGACCGATTGGCACACATATTTTCCGCTTTTGTTTGCAATTATGCGGCAGATGGAAGCAGCTTTTAGAACGAGTCGACTCCCTGCTCTACCCCGTTGTGCTGTCGACCCGGGGTCTTGTTGATTTTACCGATTCCGCTGCAGGCCATCGGATGCTATGGACACACAGAAGACAGACGGATGGACAGAAAGTTGTTTGCTTCATTGGCTGCCACAAAATATCAACAAGCATTTTGTTTATTTTCTCAACAACCCCCTCACACAAGCACACATCCATTAGAAGGGGTTGTGAGGGGACGAAGATATCCTGGCTTTTTAAAGTGCATGTTGTTTTAGCGTTTGTGACATGCAACTGCCGGGGGGAAATCGAATCGAATCGAATGGAAGCGAAGCGAAGCTTCAGTCCCAAATTTATGCAACTGCAATTGCATGAATCCATTGTTGTTTAACCACTGAAGTGCTTGGTCATCCGTCCTTCGACTGAAGTGCCATTTTTGAAGCAAACTGCAATGGCAAAGTGAAAAACCATCCAGCCCTCTGACATATTTCTATTTGCTTGTTGATTATCCGATTGGCTTTTCATTTACGTTAAATTAGTTTTCCAATGGAAACGGGAGGAGCTTGTAAGCAAAATGTTTTCAGCACTTACCGTTCAACTGAAGGGTTTGTGGAGATGTTTCCAGTT